TTTTTTATTTATTTTGGTCATGTTTGTAGATAGAGAACTACGCTTAACCTCAAAAGAGTTGCTATTCAATTCTCTACAAAATCGCGAGGGAACATTAAATCTAACCTTAAAAGCAGTCGTGAGAATCGAACAGCATTCAGCTTCTACAATAAGTGCCCATTTCTAGCATACAACAACTCGTATTTGGGTGTTTGTCGATCGATGGCTGCGCTTGCAAATCTTTAAGAATCAACTGTTCTATTATAAACCGATATGTAGAGAAAGCTCGACTGTTCTTATGAAAGTTTGCGATAACTATCACCTCAAATCAATAATCTTGCCGATTCTGGAAATTTGATAAAAGACGGTCAGAATGAAATATTTTAATGTAAAGTTTCGATCAGTTTCCACGGAAGATGAAACGTGCATAACAGAAGTTTTAGTGTGCACTGAGTGAAAATGAATATTTCCACTAAATATACTATTTATTACTCAATATGAAAAAACTCGTTTCTGTGTATTAACGTTCTTTGGAAATGTCCATCAGTGCACATCTAGACAAAGAGCTGTGTCTATTATCACAATATAGTTTCTATATCATGTTTCGCCTGCTCAAAACAAAATAACAAAGTATCAAAAATTGCTTTGGAAAAAGTCCTCTAAAAAATCGACACATATGAGAGAAGCTCAGTGTTCGCCGATTCTCTCAATAAGTTTGAGGATTAGATCTAATGTTCTCATGTGATTTTATTGAGAATCGAACAACGTATCGTTTGATACTAATTGTAATTTTCTACCTATAAACGTGGACAAAACAACAAGAAAAATACGGAGCATGCTATTATGTATGGCGCACCTGTCATAAACAAAAATGACAAACACGTATTTATTTTACTTGGAGATTTCTTTTTCTCCAAACAGCAGGATCTTTTTCTCGAGATAAATGATGAATATCATGCATGCATAAGAAAAATAATGTCTGGATTATTAAAACCTTCATATTATGTTAATATTAAATCATATGTTAAATCTATAATACGCTCTAATTCAAAGATTTAAAAAAATTAGTCACTTTTATAAAATATAACAAATTGCAGATAAAAATGATGATATGTCACTTCTACTTTATATATTATTCTTATGTTTGATAGAATTTTCAATTAAGCTTTTGATATCTATGTTTAATAAACATAATAAAGATAGTCAGTAATGATTTTTTGAAATAAATTTAACGACACAAATTATTTTTTCCAGAGACATCACGTTGTTCTTGTTAGACGACAGTTTTGATTTATTGCAAATGAATGTAAATTCAATTTACTTAGGAGTCATGCATAAAGATCATCCAGGTAATGGAAGGACGGATGATCCGTCAAAACTGGACGAATTTGGATAGAGAGAAAGGAAGCCAAATATTTCTGGACGTCCAGACGCTTACTATGAATATTTTCATTTTCTTGTCACACAAGTTTTGGCTAAATTTTCAAGGTTAGTGTGTTCTGAAGAGCATTTTTAAATAGGAAATGAAGTGAATGAATCAGTTGAATATGAATACGGTGTTGAAATAATTCAAGATTATGCTAGATGAGTAGATAGTTATCTTCTGGAGCAGTTACATGATATTTTCGAATGACATTTATATTGAACTTCATTTTTTGGTTTTACTATTTTGTATTCATTAAAATACAACGTATTTAAAAAACAAAAAACTTTGCAATAGGTTATATTTCATGATATGTGTGTTTTGTCTTTTTTTATATGTATTGATTTATTTAATTAGCTGGTGTTCAATAAAAGAGAGTTAGTATATTTGAACAAGTTGGCTTTTTCTGAAAGGTTTTTTATATTGAACATTAAACTCGTCGAGTTGGTCCCAGACACGAACCTAGGCGGATTCGGATTCGAAGTTTTTGCATCCGATGAATTCTACTGGTAGGAGAATTGGTCGATAAAACGGGACAAATCTGAACTGAAATGCAGGTCAAAAGATGCGATTTTTCCTAAGCGTTCTTTATGAATGATTCCTTACAGAAATTTTGTTTTGTTCGTCTTTACATAAACATTCGATGTACTAAGAAAAAAAAATTCATAACCAATCAAATATGTTTTATAAATAAAGAATTGACAATGAACGAGCTAATGATAACACTTTCCATTGTGTTTGTTGTTTTTATTAAAAACACCAAAAAACTTTTATTACAATAAAACATTATATTTTCATCAAGTTTAATCTATTCAACCTACTAGCTTGTAATGATTGATTCATTATACTTGCATACTTTTCTGTTCAGTAGAAAGATAAACTTTCTTATTGAAAAGAAATTAATTTATTGTGCATATTTTATGTATTATCTTATTTGTCAGTAACTATTTAAAATAAAAGAAAAATTCTGTATTTTTTGTGATTGCGATTATCATAATATGAACCTTAAATTACCATGGAAGGTATATAAATGGTCTTTACAGATTAGCAAAATATGTGTAAATAAAAAATTTATCAAGATCATTAACGTTCTATATTTAGAAAAGTGAAAGAGTTTTACTGTGATTGAGCTTATATCGTTTTCATTAAATTATTTTATGAACTAATTTAGAATTCAATTCATGTATTAAATAGGGAAAAATCTCTTCTTTTTGTTTTGTAGCACAAAAAGGATTCAGACTGTTTAATTTCATTTTCTTAGAGGAAAAATGTTAGTTTGTTACAAATAACTACGTCTATCGTATTTGAACAAAAATAAAAATGCCAAGTTTAAACCAAGAACTATCTTTTCTTTTCCTTTACATGATTTACTAGTAGATCGTGTATTATTAAAAAAATTCACAATGAATTAAGTCGTAAAAGTTATTTAGAAGTCGAGGAGACTTACCGACAATGATTTTTAAGAAAATTTTTGTCAACACGTTTCAACAAACTTCAAAAGATGATGATGCATTGTTCATTTCATCATTCGTGGTTAGCATGTAGACACAGCAGTCATTCAACTTGGTTTGTCGAGAAGAGAATCACCTTTATTTTACTATTTTGTACTGTGATCTTTGAGGAAGGCACAGTTTACATTACTTCATCATTATCAATTTTCTTAGCATCGAACAGAATATTTCTTCAGAAATGGAGAGCGTTTTTTTCTACTATTAGCCTAAAACTTAGGCTAGCTTGATAATCAAAGTACAAGAATCTTTGTGGTTAAAATCATCACATCATTAAGTACAATAGTTTAATATATGGCTTGAGAAAACTCATACTACTACTTCGCATAATATAAAAAATTAAATAAGTACAAATTATGATAACTTATTGGACAATTATAAATTAATTCTTCCGTTGTTATTTTATAGATTTGCTGAAAATATTTAGAATTCTACTAGAATATTTAATCCTGTCAAAAAAAAGAAGAAATATCAATATGAATACTATAAAATCAAACGACATCAATCAATGAAAAGAAAACATGTTGCTCATTAAAAGAGTTCCATCAATACAGAAATGTATTAAAAGTATTCACTGAATAGAAAAGCAATAGTAAATAAGTAAATGCTATTTATGTCAAAGAATTCGATGACAAAATAGCAATAACAACTGTTTCGTCATCAATAGATAAGGCATCTGTACATGATTTTGCCTTTTAACAATACATCAAAATGAACGATATTTACATTAATATAAATCGATATTCTTCTATAACCAGCATCGCATCTTTTTTGTCAATATGAAATAATTATTACAATTGTCATACTGATGAAGCTGTTTTTAACTATTTAAAAATGATAACATCAAGACAAAATCTGAACATAATCAATCATATCGTAATCAGATTTATTCATTAAAAAAATTTGATAAGAAAATAGAATAAACTATTTTCTAGATGACATCAATTCATCTTCAAATATAAAGTGTCAGAAACATAAGTAAAAAGAATGATAATGTTCACCCTCTAATACATTATTATTTCTTGTTAAATTTCTAGTTTAGGAAAGCCAAATAATATAAAAACGAATGAATCATCAATTTTGAAATAAAATTTTTTATTCATTTGATGTATTCTAATCAGTAAAATTGAAGAATAAAAATTTGTCGTTTCATACCTGAATTATTTTTTCCTATTCATGTCATTGTTCGATTTGACTCATATGAATCATTTTCATTTGGCGTTACTATATATTCAACTGTATCAGAAAGTATTTCCTCATTCGTCAATAGTTTAACATCTCCTAATAACCATTGATAAGAAGGCATTGGATTTCCATTTAATGAACTACGTATAAGATTTTCAACATCTTTTTTTTTACCCTTTGGCTATCGCCGATGTATATATGCGTCATGAACTTTATCAGTCCCTAAAACTAACGCAATCAATCATAGTGCATGATTTTTAGATGTACTGGCATAGAAATAAGCATCAGTCAACAGAAGCTTGTGATACCATCATTGGATAATGGTATGTTCTAGAGTCGTGCTTTAAAAAGAGGGGTGTGCATAGAGAACAATCAGTTTGTTGTATATATGCCTATCTTTTGTTCTTTTTCTTTGTATTCGAGAACTCATTGCAAAGTGCTGCTCCAAGAGATCATATGTTGGCAGATCATTGAGTCAAACATTTTTCTTCTTAAATTCCTTCAAATGAAAGCGGTCAGACTCCTTGGAGAAAATGTTATGTTTGGAGCAATACTGAACGACGTACGAAGGAACGAAGCAATACTCTCTACCAGTGTACTAAATACGATGTCGGGCTGTTTATTACCGACTATTTCAAAGATTCCCATATCTTACAGGAGATTTAACATTATCTTGTGGAAATCTGTAAAATTGGATCACAAATGAATAGCTACAATGATTTTCTAAAGAGATTTTTTCCTCTCTCTTATGTCGATAACCGAAGAGTTAATCAATAAAAATACATATTCACTTTTATAAGGCTCTACAAATTCAGGTGAACCTAATAAATAATGTTTTATATGATGAATATCATTGAATAGATATTAGAAATCTTACCATAAGCATCAAGATATAAATTAGATGTTCATGAATAATCTTCATTCTCATCATTAGTTGTTATACGACAAGTATATATTCCAGAATGAATATTAGAAACATGTTTTATTTGTAAATAATCATGACCAATTAGTGATGAAATATTGCGTAGAGAATTATTCGATATAAGAAATGTAAACCAAGCTGGTAATGTCAAAAATATTGGACAAAGTAATGTTATTGTATCATTTATTTCAGAATAAATGTTTTTCTTGATCAGATATTTGATGTAGACCACCAACTAATAAAAATCTATATGAAAATATAGATTTTGAAATCAAAAAATTTTACCACTAAGAAAAATACTCGAACATCAACTAGAGCATTATATAATCGAACTACATATTCATAATAACCTTCATTTTCATGTTTAATATTCTAAAATTGTATATAATATGGATGTTGTCGTATATGTTCATAATGTTAAACAAAATCAAAATGAAAATCAGCTATGTCTTCTTTTGTATAAGCTATATTTTCATTCGAACCACAATGTCTTTCGGTATGACTAATAACAGTATCAATAAGCGTTTTATCATAGCCTTTAAACCGACAATCAACTAATTCAGTAGCTAAAACAAAACAAAATTTCATAAGATTTTTTTATTTAGTATCTTTAGAACTTACGATCATTAGTTATTTAAAAAGTGTTTTTCATCGATAATTATTTCATTTTTATCTTTTATATGACAAATAGCAATTCCTTCGATATTTATTACGAAAGAATCTATGATGAAATTTGCTTTATTAATAGTATTCATTTGAATATCATGATTATATAATATTCATGAAATATGTTCATCACTTATTAATAGGCTATTTGTCTCACATTTTTGTTCGAATTGTTTTGGCTTTAGTTTCCAAATAATAAGTTCTATATGAAGAAAAAAAAACATATTTCTTTTCTAGATGTTTCATTGATGACAACTATTTTTTTTGTCTTTTATTTCAATGCCACAAAAATGAACTATTTCATCAACATGGAATAGAGTAAAATAACAATTAACATTGTATCTTAATTTTAATCATAAATTCTATGATTGGAAAGTAAATATTGATTATCGTGAACATCCTGAACTCTATCGAATAGGTCGTGGTAAACAAGGTATTTTAATTTGTCAACCATATAAAAATTACACATGTCCACATTGGCGTTTTAAAACTGTTGAACAAGCTATGCAATCATCGAATAAAATTTATGAAACTTTTTAAATAATCTTCAACAAAATGATTTTGTCGGAGCTGATACGGCTCGAAAATATCTACCAATGGGTTTTACTCGATCGAAACGTTATGCTAATCATGCTAGTGGAATCAAATATGATACAGAAAAACTTATAATATATTACCACAATAAGAAACTCATATACAAACGCAATATTGAATAGACGCTAAATGCTATATAGTTTAGTTTTACTCTGTTTCAAGTTTCTATCACTTTCAAAGAGTTTCGCTTAAACATGGAAGTGATCTTCTTGGAGTTTCTACTTTGTGCGTGTTTAGGTACGGGTATAGCTGTGAATGCTGTTAAAGAGAGGATCGCAAATAATAGGGGAATTTTACTGATTTTTTACTATGTTTTTGCATTATTATCATAATAGCTGGACATTTCGATGAAAACGTAAGAAAAAGTAAGAAAGTGCATTGTATCTTAAACTAGAGATATCAAGTTCCTCTATCTGAATGAAAGGTCAAAATCAAAATTTCATCTGAATGGCAGGTCATTTTCATGCATTCTTTCCCATGTTTTTCAAAGATGAGTAGTTTTAAAAGGATTTCGCCTGACGCATTTTCTGAGACAAAGATGTCCCTCTGTCTCATCTATCGATTGGTGAAAACCGCAGGTCACTAGCTCGTTGCGTTCTTGAGTTATTTAAAAACAGTGGTGCGCACTATATTTGAAACGGACAGTAGAAGAAGCTGGGACAGTGACACCCTAAGTTCTCTAGCCCGGCTTATTAGATTATTAAGAGAAACAAGGAGGTTTGAGGATGAAGAACTATCCATTTGTCGGAAAGTTTCTAGTATGATCTAAAAATATAAAAGAGCAGTTCACGGATAAAAGTCGACTTCGTCAAAGTCCTTGAAATTTAACAGTCTTGTTATGTATTCAATTCTTCTAAAAGTGTGGAAGGAAGGAAAGAACAAAACTGAACGATTAATAAGACTACAGTACTCATCGAATAGTTGCTTGCGTAAATGGGAATGTGTAACGATGCACACGCTCTCTCACTTGATACACCTCGCACGAAAGTAGCTCTTTGTCGTGCAGAAGATTTATCAAAATTGAAACTGAAACGAACAAATAGATAGTACTTGAAAAGCTCAACACAATAGTCTATTTAAATGCCGCAAGACGAACGAAATGAACTTCACATACATGAACCCTATGACATATCTGCTAGACTAATGGATTGAAGTATGATGGCCTTTTAGTCCTCATGCCACTTGTTTGGGAAAGTATCGAACTGGTGTGTTTGACATAATTTTCGATGTTCAATACGAATCTTATATTATCTCCTTAATTTGAATGAGAATAGATATAAAACGAAAGCAATGTGAGAAACTAATAAGAAAATGGATGTAAACTCATTTTTCACGATCACTTCCTCATGTTGTAAGGACAAAAACAGATTGTTTTCATGGTGCAATGTCAAATATACTATGCTCATTAGATAGCCATTTGTTCGCTCTATTTAAGCCTGTTGAGACAGTTTTCGACAATCGTAATGTCGATCTGGAAAATAGCATGCAAACAAAACATTCCAGAGTGTGGTATTTTAAGAATCGATCCTGTTATGGCCATTGCTTTAGTTTTTCTGCTTTAGAATGGATGTCTACAAAAAAGCCCAATACACAGTCGTATGGAATGAGTTTCGCTGTATCTTTTGAGATTTTTTTCGATCTTATGTATAGAGATCGGTCGAAGAAAACGCCGTTAAATGTTTTCAAAGCTATTACAGAAAAAAAAATGAAAATGTAATGTTTCTCTGAAAGAAAAACTTATCTTTAGTTCGTTTGGGAGAACTTATGATAGGTACAAGTTAATGAGCTAAAAATTGGAATGCATAAGTTTCTAAACACCAGTTTTTGTTTCCACACTGTAAAATAGAATATAAGTTATAGGAAACAGAAAAAGATATTCTAGGAATGTTCATACGAATTCAGCAACGAATTTCGATTTTCTTGAAAATGCGATATTCATGGAGGTTCAAAATTCAAGTTTTGATTTTCGAGTTAGAAAATCACGATTGTATTCATATGGATATTTCTAGAATATCAAACTTAATTACGCATTCTGAACATTTTGCAGAAAATAGAATATCTATTCTCACTTTTCATTTTTACGATAAATTGTTCTTCACCACTACACGGGTTTTACTTATTAGCTTAACTCTGATTATACATCAAAAGCGTATATATAATCAAGAAAAAATTAAAAATTATTTGAGATACGTATTATAATTTAACAGTATTAAAAAGAAAACATAATTACCTTACAAAGAATTTTACATATGGGCGTGAGCAGTCGACCAGATACCCCAAGATACAGAATAGGAATTGATATTATTCCAGGAAGGAATATATAATGAATTTTATACTAAATGAAAGCTCGTCAAAAATGGGATTTATTGGTACTAAATAGTAAGGGTTTTGTAAACTTTGTCATGTCGAACTTAAGAAATTTAATACATCAAAAAAAATGTTAAAAAAATCACATTTTCTATATGGAAGAAAGGGCACTAGATTTTCTCATAAAATTAACTTTTTTTCATTATTTCCACTACCTCACCTGTTTTCAAATACACTTATTCGATTCAATTTTCCACGCTGCATCTATTGAATATATTTTGAAACATGTAAGATAGTGGAAATAATGAAAAAAAAGTTAATTTTATGGAAAAATCTAGTGCCCTTTCTTCCATATAGAAAATGTAATTTTTTTAACATTTTTTTGATGTATTAAATTTCTTAAGTTCGACATGACAAAGTTTACAAAACCCTTACTATTTAGTACCAATAAATCCCATTTTTGACGAGCTTTCATTTAGTATAAAATTCATTATATATTCCTTCCTGGAATAATATCAATTCCTATTCTGTATCTTGGGGTATCTGGTCGACTGCTCACGCCCATATGTATATATATTACAAAAGGAGACTATGGTTTTATAAAAAGAGAAAGTAACATCATAACTACTGAGAAATTGCTCTTGTGTTCCTAATTATGTAGAAGTTTTAATAGAAGTGTAATTATGTAAAATCAACTGTTTTGTTATAAGAAAAATGCCTCAAAGTGGACCATCAATTTTCAATGCAGGCACGATATACGAGAGATATCACATAGCTCAAAAACAAAAACAATGAGAAATATCGCAAATGTTTTCAGAAAAAAAAACATTTACTATCTCTCATCACTAATAAAAAATAATTTATTGCTCGTTTTCGTTATTATACGATGAACTAGTATATGCTGTCTGCACGTTATATAACTCACATAATCGATACAACTCTTGGAGAAAAATGAATTCTCCACTAAACATTGATTTTATAGTTGTCATTATTTGCATAATATTTCAGAAAATAGTATTGATTTTTTATAAAAACGGAATTTTTTTCAAACATCACTAAAAATTATTGTTGATCTTCCATCTTGTTCCAAAATAAGGTTTGTTCAGAAAATTAGATTGAAATTCTATTTTTGGAAATTCAAGCATATTCTGCAAATTATAAAATCGTTTGGCGATTAATAGTAATTTGAAAATGTTTGAGCTTTTGCTGACTCGGTTTTCAAGAAAGCAGAATTTATTTAAAATTTACAGTACAATAATAAAATAAGGAGGAGAAGTCAATCTTTCAAAAAGAGTATGGTGCTATTGAAAATTGCTTAATTATTTCATGGAATGTCTCTTAAATAAGTTAAAAGTAAAATATACTCACTCACGTACACCAAATGAAACTAAAATGTATGAATTATATTTTATTTGTGTTCGCAACTAGCTTTAATACATATTTATTGATGACGGAATTGCTTTGTTTTTTTCTGACTTGTGTCTCATTATATGCATCGATGGAGCATGACGTTTTCATAAGGTAAATAGTTAGTTTCGTCAGGATACACTCATAATCGCACATGTTCGTCTTGTTTTTACTATTTTCTTCTTCAATACGTCTTTTTTCTTCCTTTGCATGACGTATGTCTATACCAAGAAAGTGTACACCGATACGCCCACATGCGAGTATATTCAAGTTGGGTACCGACATTTTTTTCTCATAGAGAAAAGCGAACCAATAGGCTTCTGATCACGGGACAAAGTGCTGAAATCAGATTTTATTTGATTAAACTCAGTTTTGCGATCAAAAAAATCAAGAGTAAACACTTGATATTTTTAATTTTCTGTTAATTTTGAATCAAAAGAGCAATTTAATCAAAAAAAAAATCAGTGTAATCAAAAACATCAGTAAAATCAAGATAATTGAAAAAATCGAAAACATCATTTTTTTGTAATTATTAGGATACACTTCATCCGAATAATGAGCTATAGATGATTTCTCCAATAGTTTTCTTGAAAAATGCATTTCTCCTAAGGTAA